TATGTAAGTGGAAAAGGCTCTCAGTTTCCCTGAGGCCCTCAGGTTGGTCCCCAGTACACCTGTGACCATAGAGTCACCCTCCTCTCTGGATGTCCGCTGGGACCTATGCGCGGTGGAGCTGATGGCAAAGGGGCGGGGACACAAGGGGCGGGGCTGCACGAGGCGGGGCCTATCTGGACCAGTCCTGGTGGCTAGTAGAGTGACGGCCCCGGCGCAGCCAACGTCTAGGAGCGGTTCGGCTACCAGAGTCTCTGCCCAGGCAGGATGGGGTTTCATTCGTCCGGATCTTGCCTTATGTGCCATGTCTTTGCAGTCCTGGGACTGCCCAGTCCTGTTTCCACCTGGGATGTGGCATATGAATCTGAAAACTGAGAACTGGACAGAATGAGAATGGCTTCATTAGGACCCGGATGTAACCCGGTGATGCCTTGCATACTTGAGACCTTCCTTGGGTTTAATCTCCAATGCCAAAAATAATAAGAAGAAATAAAGCTGCATTCCATAATGTCAGGTCATAAGCCAAAATGGTTGCATCTAAACCTAGGAAAAGTTAGACAAATTCTGTTGCATCTATCTCGCAGAGTAATGAACGTGCGCTGATAGGCAGTGTTAAGTATCTACGTGCTCAAGTGTAAAGTCCTCCAAACTATAAGTGGAAGCAAGATGCAGACGAGCATACTATGCTATTATCTGTGATGATGAGGCCATTGGAGAGATTTTGTGTATGCAGGACACCTATGTGTGCACATAGCAGTTTATAAACTAACAGCTAACCGGTCCCTATCATAGACCAGGCAGTGTTCTTTAAAGGTATTTATTAATTGATTTATTCTTCATGATGATTCCTGAGGTACCTGATGCGTCCATTTTACAGATCAGAAAATCAAGGCCAAGAGAAGTTAGGCAAGAAAACCAGCCAGAGTTCTAGCCAGGTGGGTTGGTGATAGCACACACCTGTGATTCCAGCAACTTGGGAGGCTGAGGCAGGTGGATCACAAGTTCCAGGCCAGCCGGGGCAACTTAGCAAGATCCTGTCTCAAAAGAGTGGGGTAGTTGTGGATGTACTTCAGTGTTCAGTGGAAGAGCGCACCTGAGTTCACCCCAGTGCTAAAGAAAGGCAGGAAAGGACAAGCAAGCAGGCAGTGTTCCTGTCAGGAAGCCCTGGAAGGGGCTGCTCCAGAAGACAGTGGAGCGGTCCTTCTCACACTGCACACACACACCAGGCCTTCCTGCAAATTGCTTTCATCATACACAAGTGGTCCTTCTGCAAATGCATGATTCTGAACAGGCCTCCATATCCCCAGCCTCTGGAAACACCTAGTTCCAGAAGATAGGCTCTTGGGCCAGGCCCTCTCCTGGCTGCAGAAGACAGCCTCTTAGTGGACTGATGCTCAGGGAGGAACCCCGTGCGATCATTCTTGGAAGCTCATCAGCTTACTCAGTTCATGTTCCAGGCCCCAGAACACAGGGTTCTCCACCCTGGATGGAGGCCAAAGGACACCAGATCAGGAAGGAACACAGGTCTCCTTGCCCAGCACTTGTGTTTTCCAAATGAAAGTGTCTCCCAGTGTCGTAGCCACATGGTCAGCCATAGCACCCCCACGTGTCCACGTTCATTCCTCCTTTATTCAGTGAGCTAAGTGCTGGGCTGGCCCCAGTGGAGATGGAGTCCCTGCCCTCAAGAGCTACCTGGTAAAATTGCAACTGAGGGCAAGCATGGAGGTCAGGTGGTAAGAATCCAGAACAGAGCAGGTGGTGAGGGCCACCAACCTAGCCAGGTGCCCAGACTGGGGGAACAAGCCAAGGGGATTTCTGCCTTAAGTTCAATTGAAGAGGACCAAGAGGCCAGGAGAGTCAGGATGGCAGGAAAGATTTGCTTTTGGAAGTTACTGAGCCCTCTGAGGGAGCAGGGTTCTCTTTTGTTTTGATTTTTGTTTTTTTGCAGCACTGGGTATTGAACCCAGGGCCCCGAGCATGCTAGCTAATCCTCAACCTCTACTTTTCCACTCAATCTGTACGCCCCCCAGTCCTTTTTATTTTACTTTGAGATGGAGTCTCGCTCAATTGCAGAGGCTGTTCTCAAACTTGAGATACTCCTGCCTCCCCAGTCATCTCTGGGATTTCACTGGGTAATTTTCAAAAAATTGAAACGTGAACTTCCATACAAGTTTACAAAGAATGAGGGCAACAGGTATGTTTAGCTCACCAACAAGAGAGCTCCCAGGACAGGAAGGTGGTTCCAGCAGGAATTTGAGGAATTGTTAGCATCAGAAGTTTGGAAAGGGGAGGAGTACTGGGAGTGGAACCCACGTGTCCTATACCCCTGAGCTTCAACCCCCAGCCCTTTAGATAATTTTTTAAAATTTTGAGACAGGGTCTTGTAACAAGGGGTTCACTTGATGCTTTGACTATATCCCCTGAGGCTTTGAAAATAACATGTTTTTTTCTTTTTCCAAATCTTCTTTTCCCTCTACTTCTCCTCCCTGATCTCTCCTCCCTAATCTCATTTTATCTGAGTCACCTCTTTAAAAGCCCCTGTTCCTGTGGATGGGCACAATCACAGCCTCTGGAACAGGAGTTCCCTGTACTTCTCCTTTGCTAGCAAAGCAATTAATCTTCTTTTTCCTTTTTTTCTCAAAACTGTCCTTGTTATTGGATTGGACCGATCTTTTGGCAACAGCACCCCACCCAAGGCCTTACCCAGGAGTGTTCCCCCATAGCCCATTAGGCCATGCATCCCTCCCTAGTGCCACCCTGCCTGTGTGCCACACCCTGAGCCAGGCGTCTGCCCTCTGGCCTGGACGACACCAGGGCCCACAAGCAGCCCCTGGCTTCTTTCCTCCTCACCCAACCTGGCAGGCTCTGCGTCACCCAGTAATGTCAATACACGAGTTCAGCTTGAGGGCCACCTGCTATAGAAGCCCTCCCTGCAGATCACTGCACCCCAGGCCCCTTCCCCATGTCAGGTTCTGACCAGGAGCCTGTGAAGCTAGGGTGGCACCAGAGGCTGGACCACTTGGTAGCATTAGGGAGAACTGGACACACAGACAGTGCCATCCTCCACCTTAGAACAAGAATCACCGCCTGATCTCTCTGAGTCAGCCTGACCTGGAGCCCAGGAGGCACTCCCCAGGTGGCACCCCACCATCCTGCCAAGAAAAGAAATTGGTTTCTAGGACTGACATCCTGAAAAACACTGGTTCCTTTTGAAGCTGATGCCACAAGGAGCCTTCCCTAGCCGAACCTCAAAATTCCCCTCCCTCCCCACATGTACCCCAGGCCGTATGTAAGTGGAAAAGGCTCTCAGTTTCCCTGAGGCCCTCAGGTTGGTCCCCAGTACACCTGTGACCATAGAGTCACCCTCCTCTCTGGATGTCCCTCCTTGGCTCCTTTCCTCATGGGGAGGAGAATCAATCGTCATGTCCGCTAACCTCCAACAGAAAGCTAGCGTGGCGGAGGGCTCCATGGGGTACAGCTGAGATCCCAGCAGCTCCGGAGGCTGAAGCAGGAGGATCGCAAGTCAAGGCTAGCCTCAGAGACTTAGTGAGATCCTCAGCAATTTAGGGAGACCCTGTCTCAAAAAAAAAAAAAAAAAAAGAGGGGTGGCGGGGAGCTGGGGATGTGGCTCAGTGGTAAATCACCCTGGGTTCAATCCCTGGTATCAAAAACCAAAAAACCAGTGACATTCCTTCCATGGAAACTCTGTAGCATGATCACTAGGTTATCTTCTTCATGAATTAGTGTTGCTGAAACTCTGCTTGTTATTTTCTAGCCCCTCCTCCAGGGTCTAAGCTCCAAGACACCAGGAACTTGAATACTTCATTCTCTAAAAAAGACTTAGGAAGGTGGCGCGCATCTGTAATCCCAGCAGCTTGGGAGGCCGAGGCAGGAGGATCACATGTTCAAAGCCAACCTCAGCAAAAAAAAAAAAAAAAAAAAAAGCAAGGCCCTAAGCAACTCAGTGAGACCCTGTCTCTAAATAAAATACAAAATAGGGCTGGGATGTGGCTCAGGGGTAGAGTGCCCCTGAGTTCAAACCACATCCTGGGCAAGACTTAGGAGGGGCTGGAGTGCCACTGGGGCGGGGGGCGGGGGAGTGCTGGTTTAGCCCACCCAAGGCTCTGGGTTCATCCCAGCACAGAAACCTGGCAAAACACAGCACAGTGAGCCCAGCCCCAGGCCCATGGAGGGGGGGAGCCGCGCGCTGGCTGTGTGGCTGACACCACCATCCCACAGCCCCACCTTCTCTGGCCCCCAGGACCTGGGGACCCTCCTAGTCTCAGGATGGGCCCTGCAGGTCAGGACTCCTCTGGGATTCTGTATGCTGTTCCGGGAATGCTCCCACCTGGACCAGCATCAAAAGGCCCATCACAAGTTCTGCTTTCGCCCTCCCCAAGGTCCCTGGGGTGTAACAGGGGTTCACTTGATGCTGTGACTGTGTCCCCTGTGGCTTTGAAACTGGCATGTTCTTTTCTTTTTCCCAACCTTCTTCTCCCTGATCTTCTTTTTCCTAAACTTCTCCCTGATCTCCTTTCCCCTCATCTTCTCCTTCCTGACCTCTCCTCCCTAATCCCAATTTTCTCTGAATCACCTCTTTAAAAGTCCCTGTTCCTGTGAATGGGCACAATCCCAGCCTCTGGGATAGGAGTCCCCTGTGTTCTCCTTTGCTAGCAAAGCAATAAGCCTTCCTTTTCCTTTTTCTCAAAACCGTGTCCTTGTTATTGGATAGGCTTTGAGGACAAGGACAGAGCTTTTGGTAACAAGTGGGGCTCCTGGAGTTGTCCACTAACAGGGGACTGGCTCTGCTAGCCCTCCAGGGGCCAGACTCACATCTAGATTTGTGACCCCAAAGGAAGCTGGACCCACAGGTGCACCAAGGTGGGAGGGGAAATGGGGAATTGCTAACAGGGAGCATTTAAAGTGTACCTCAGACTGAGGGTGCCGTTCAGGACGGTGGCTCCATGGTAAAGCGCTTGCCTGGCGGGCACAAGACCCTGGGTCCTATGATCCAAGAGACTCAGGAGACTGAGGTGGAAGGATCACAAATTTAAGACCAGCCTCAGCAACTTAGCAAGACCTTGTCTCAAAATTAAAAAAATAAAAAGGGCTGGGGATACTCAGTGGTAGAGCACCTAGGGTTCAAACCCCAGCACCAAAAAGAGAAAAAAGAGCCCCACCCCTAAATATCAGGAGGCCACTGTCCCACATAGGCAAGGCTGAGAATCTAACTGGAGTTACTCCCACTCAAGTTCATCACCAAGCTGAAAGTGTCTGACCTTCAGGGAAACCAGCACTAGAAAGGTCACAGCCATGAATAGGACAGCTTCAGTTGGTGTGGTAAGGACCCCCTGCCTCAAGCCTGAGCTCCTCCTGTCCTCATAGAGAGTGAGGAATCTCAACCAATGGTGTTTCCATCCCTGCCTCACAGAGGCACTGTGAAAGGGAGGATCAGATTCTTTGCTGCTTTCAGTGCCGGGACCTCACCCTGCTAGGCCAGCTCTCCATCAAAAAGCTACACCAGCCCTTTCTATTTCCTTTGCAGGCAGGGCCTCCCTAAGTTGTCTAGGCTGGCCTTGAACTTGCAGTCCTCCTGCCCCAGCCTCCCCAGGCTGGATGACGGATGCATCAGGCCCAGACCTGGCCACGTTTTCTTTTCCAATCTTTCATAGGTGGACAGGGGATGGCTGGCAGCTGTGGGCTATGACCAACAGGGCCGCTACAGCCACAGGTGCACAAGAGCCTGCTCAAGGCCCTGTGGTCAGTTCTATGGGATATGCCCCCAAGAGGACTTGTTGGACCCCGTGGCAAGGCAGCTTTGGGTGTATGTGTTTACAGACTGAGGTCAAACCTGGGCCTCGGAGAGGATAGTGGAGGGCTGCACCCATCCCTGCTTGAGTTGGAGTTTTTTTTTTTAGTGGCACTGGGGGTTGAACCCAGGGGTGCTCTATCACTGAGCTGCACCCAACACTTTCTAATGTTATCTTGAAACAAGGTCTCTCTAAGTTGCCCAGCCTGGCCTGGAACGTGCGATGATGCTCCCGCCTTGGCCTCAGAGGGGCTGGGCCTCCCTCAGGGTGACGCCCATGGCCTCTGCTACCTTTGAGACTGGGAGGCTGGGTGGGAGTGAGGACTCCTCTCCACTGTGTGTGCCACATGTGTACGCTGCTGGCTGGAAGAGATAAGGATCCAAAGTAACAGTGGCCAGGACCATTTATTTCATCCTCATGAAAATGCTGGCACCACAGGGCTACCTGGGGCCGTGATGAGTTTCCCCTGTCATCCACAATGAGTGTGAGGCTCTGCCCTGTTGCCCACAGCAGCTGCTCTGGTTCTAACCATCACCACCCATTCCAGGCACGAAAAGGATGAAGATGGAGGAGAACTGAGTGACCTTCCCCGTGAGGTCCTTTTGCTGAACTCCACACAGTCTTTCTTATACCCAACAACCAGAGCTCTAGCAGGTGCTGGGGAGACCTCAGGGAAATGTCCTCTTCATCTTGAGGGGTAGAGGCCAGCTATACTGGGGGGCACAGAATGGAAGCATACCCCTTCTGTTTATTGGCTGTGGTGCAGGCAACGGAACCAGATCTTGAGCTGTTTGGGGACGGTACCACAGAGCGCATCCCCAACTCCAGGACCTGGAGGACAGACTCAAGGACAGCTCACGCCTGCAGTTTCCTAGTTACATACATTTGTTTTTGTTTTTGGTACTGGGGCTCAAACCCAGAACTCGGCCCATGCCAGGCTGGCCCCGAGCGTAGAGCACACTGTAAACCTAGTCCCTCGCTTGCTCTGGAGGCCACAGCAGAAGGATCTCAAGTTCAAGGCCAGCCTCAGGAACTTAGTGGGGCCCTAGCAACTCTCTAAATAAAATATTCAAAGGGGAGGGCAGCAAATTGATGTGGCTCAGTGGTTAACCACCCTTGGGTTCAAGAAGAAATCAGGGACCTCACTCCCTGGAGGCAAGTGTCTCCCCACTTAGCTACTCCCCCAGCCCTGCTGTTACCTATGTGGAAAATAATGGAAGTTTCGCCAGGTGAGTGACACAGGCCTGTGATCCCAGAGACTCAGGAGGCTGAGGCAGGAGGATTACAAGTTCCAGCCTGGGCAAAACAGGGGAGACCCTGTCTCAAAATTAAAAGGTAAGGCCCTGGGTTTGTCCTCAGCACCATACACACACACACACACACACACACACACACACACACACACAAATTAAAGAATCATTAAAATGGGCTGGAGATGTGGTTCAGTAGTAAAGCACCCTTATGTTAAATCCCTAGTACCAAAAAAAAAAAAAAAAATAGAAAGAGATACTACTGGTTGATCTGGGCCACGTTTAAGGCTCATCCTGACTTTACATGGAAAAACATGCACCCCCGGCCACGCCCAGTACATGCCTGTAGCCCAATGACTAGAGGCTAAGGCAGGAGGGTCACTGGGCCCAGGAATTCAAGCCCAACCTGGTGAGATCCCGACTCACACACAAGACAGATCAGAAACCAAACCTCCAGCACAGGAGCCAGGTGTGGCCCGGTGGCTAGAGGACATGCACTCGGTGACACCACGTGGTTTCCAAAGCCACAAGGCTGTGCACAGAGGCCAAAGGAGACTCTGAGACTTGGCTGGCTGGCTGGTGGACAGAGTCCAGTTTGGTCAGGCCAGGCCATGCAGCACAGTGGCAGTCAGTTGCATCAGGGTCTCAGCTGGGGGACCTGGATGATGCAATCAGGGCCCAAGGCCACTCACCAGCAGTGAGGTACAAATCCATGCTGGGCAGTCCAGGCTGAGCTCTGGGCCCTGGGCTCCAGGCTCAGGGCACCAGCCACACACCCTGTGTCCCTCACACCCACCCAGCCCTGCAGATCACCTGTGCGTTTGCCTTTCGGGTTCTCTCTGTGCCCGAGCGCTGCTGTGAGTGCCTGCTCCTGCCCTGTCCCTGGGGCAGCCGCTCCCCACCACAGCAGGGGCTGGCTTTGTGTGTCACCACTTCAACCAAGACTTGCTGTGTCCAGGGAACCCATGTGCAGTGGGTCTGTGTGTCTGTTCTCTGGCTTCTCCTGTCCTGCTCTCCAGGGCAGACTGGGCAGCGGAGCTCCCCCAGGATCACCTCTGCTAGTCTCAGACTGCCATGTCTGGGTGGAGCTTGGGGTGCAGTTTCCCCCAGGAGAGCTCTGTGAGACAGGAGGCCTGGGTGCTGAAGAATCCAGCCCTTGGCACCGCTCAGGCCCCGCCAGGGAACACCAGGCCCACGCACCAGCTAGCCCTAGGGTCACAGCCATGACCACCCACTTCCAGCGCCCAGGCAGAGATGGCTGGCACTTCCTCCTCTTGAGGCTCAGCTGGCCAGCAGTCCTGGGGCTCTGCCTTGGGAGCACACAGGGGCCGCCACACCTCACCAGCCCAGGAACTTTCCTCCCCGCTCTTCCTGCTCCCAGCTGGCCCCTCTCTGCTTGAACACAACCAGGGGGACTGCAGGGGGGTCACCCAGGCCCCCTGCTGCTCAAACCCTGCAGTGGCCTTGTGGCCCCAGAAAACCCCCATGCTTGTGCTGACCCTTGCAGCCCCCAAGCCTCCCGGATCTCCAAGCACACCCCTGCCTCACACAGGCCTGTCTGGAGGTCACCCTCCTGGCTCCCCCTGGGCACCCCAGGTGCCCCTCCCTGCCCTGCTAGCCAAGGTGCAGGGTGCAGATTCTGAGTCTAAGTGTGTTCTGTGTTTGTCTTTCCCTCGACGGCAGGCCAGGGCTGCAAGCTCCTCAAGTCTAAGGATGTGGCCTGTTTAGTTGAGCCTGCAGCATGTCAGAGTGCAGGACCTGCTGCAGGGGCGGCAGGAAGCCCACGGCACTCCCAGCTGCCTGCGGGACCTGGCCCAGGCTGGGAGGAAGGCCAGGCCATCAGGGCTCCAGCCCAGGGCCACCACCTGGGGCCCCTGGGAGCCAGGACCTGCCAGTTCTGATCTACCTGAGTGTGACTGAGTAGGACACAGAGGGAGCGAGACAGAGGCAGAGAGAGGGAGGGA